CATTCCCAACAATATCAGATTTATAGATAAGATCGAAACCATAGTCTGAAAAGTTGAAGGAATAACCAAAAGGTACAAGTCTTGAAACGGAAATTAAATTCCTAGAAAAACCAGGAACATAAAAGGTATTTTCCAACATAAATACATAACCATTACTTAAAACTAGATAACATGTTCCAACAGCCTCCACATGTGAGCGCATCTTGTTTCCCGAATAGATGCATTGCTCACTTCCCACTAGTTTCCTTAGGTTTCGCAAACCCTGTAGAGAATTCGTAACATGGATTGTAGAACCAGAATCAATCCACCATGTGTTGTGACCAACATCGATCATATTAGATTCATAACAAACGAGTGTAAGTGAGTTACCTTTCTTAATAAACCACTCTTTCCCTTCTTCTTACAGAAGAAACACTTGGATTCCTTCTTGATGTTTCCTTGAGAAGTCAACTTTTCCATCCCTTTCTTTTTAGCTTGGTATTTCACTTTTTCTTGAGTTGCCAAATGCCCCCCCCCCCCCCCTTCCATAAGCAACCTCCCTTCCTCTTGAACACACATGTTCAACAGTTCGTTGATCGACCATTTATCCTTATGTGTGTTGTAAGAGATCTTGAAGGGTCCGTATTGATGCGACAAAGAGTTCAAAATGTAATGCACAAGGAAAGAGTCAGACATGGTAATCTCAAGTGTTTTGAGTTGGGCCGCTAAATCCCTCATTTGCATGATGTGATCACGCACTCCTTTGGTACTGGTGAGCCTCAAAGTGGAAAACTTCATAATCAGGGTGCTCGCCAACGCCTTATCTGAAGACTCAAATTGTTCATCAATAGCCTTCAGCAGCATACGGACATTGTCATACTGCTCGATCGAACCCCGAATGCCAGATGAGATGTTTGTCTTTATGAAACATAACGCTGAGGCGATTAGATCGCTCACACCTTTCATAAAGTTCAATCTCCTCAGACTCACTCTCCTTAGTAATCGGAGGCGGTTCATCTTTCTGAATAGCATAGTCAATGTCCATCCACCCCAAATGAAGCAGGATTCTTTCCTTCCACACCTTATAGTTATCCCCTTTGAGCTCGGGAATATCGCATTTCATGTCAGAGACATTCACAGGTTGAAAAACTGCACAAAACAGATCAATATATATGCTTATGTTAATAAAATTAAGGCAACTTTATGTGACGTTTTACCAATGTAAAAACATCAACAATATGAATCATATGACATAAAAACTGCCAGTGGGCTAAGTTTCTAATTCAAATAGATTTATTTAGCTTAATGATGAAACCATCGGATTATATTCGTTTCTCAATCCTTGTGGGCAAATTAAGAAACATAATCGACTTTCCACCCTAATTAATTACATAAATATAATAAAACTTCATGTGGGATAAATTTTATTATATCAATGTGATTAATTACAATCAATATCTGTAACTAAATGTGATCTAATAACAAAATTTATGTATAATTTAATTCTAATTAGAGATGCTTTGGCTATTCTCTAATTTAAATAAATTATATGGACCACTAGATATGTATCTCTGTAAATACAGATTATTGTTGAGAAATAGGCGTAGTCTAGTGGTTGTGAAATCCCATCTAAAATGCAAGGTCTTGGGTTCAAACCTTGTTCCTCCATGCCTTTTCCCTCATTTATTTTTAAATGAGAACTAATAATATATGTAGATATATAAACATAAATGGACTCATCACGGCCCACCTTCTTCTTTGCGTGCTTCACTTTCTGTTCTTTATGGCGACGACTCTTTCTCTACATTTTTTTTAAAAAAAAAAATCTTTATCTCTCCGATGACAACGACAACTTCGGTGGTGAAGGTTCATGACCGACGACCATCACCAGATTCGTCTACATAAATGTTGTCACGGAGAGCAAATCCGAGAATAGAGCCACCGACCCAACAAATCGCATAGATCCGAATCGCAGAGATGAAGAAAAAACAAAAAATTGCTACAATTTTCTGGTCTAACACAGATTACAAACAACAAGGTACTCTATTTCTTATTTTAATGAGTTATGTTCATAATATCTATTTTCATAGATTCAACACAATATCACAACCCATCAGTTTCTATATCAAAATTACAAAAGCATGGAATAATTCGAAATTTCTGTAACTAGAGTTAATACAGAAAAATTATTCCAATAATCATGTCAGATTTCATGAAAATTAACTAAATAAAATAGCAAAAAATTCATGAACAACAAATTTTCAAGACAGAGGATAACAAAAGCTCTGATACCAAATGTAAGTTTAATATTCTTTAAACTCATTTAAATCATGATCTTCAATATGCATCACTTTAACATACAAGATCATGAATGCGGAAATAAAATTCTGAAGTTTTCTAATATGCATCACTTTAGCCTAGGGACCCAGATTTATGCCCTTTTAATAGTTTTTTCTCCATCAGAAAAAACTGATATTTGACAGTTAATCATGTAGTTAACATTGAGTAAGTATTGGACCACTAATCATTAACATAGAAGTTTTCTAATATGGACAGTTATTGAAAACTTCCAACAACACAGTCCTATAAAAGTCCTATAAAAGTTGCTGAGATAGTCACTGATTTCAACATGGTCCACTTGGTGAATGGAGAGCAACCTGGAATTACCAAAAGGGCTAAAGACGAAGAAGTGATGACAGTGTTGGTGATGAAGCCCAGCAAGCCCAAGTCCAAGAAACTGAGCCCAAGTTCGATCAGGCCCATTGCAACTCAGTTCAAGAATTCTGCAATTCCCAGTCACGAAATCCTACAACGCACAAAAAGGAAACACGCACAATCAGCTCTCAATCACCAACGTTAAGCATATCATCTTGAATATGCACATTTTCTTTTCTCCTTCAATTCTTCCCTTTTCTCTTTGTGTACATATCTTGTTAAATATCTCTCTGCGACATACTGAAAAGATCAATCAGAAAAGAAAAGAACAAGAAGTTCTAGAGTTCTTTTTTCTGAATCTGTTTTGCATCGTGTCTGATTTGGAAAACTTTCAAGAAGAAGAAGAGATAACCCATGCTGCCATGTGGTGACCCGGTATCAAATATGGGAGCAGCGCGATAACAGCACCCCACACGTGTATGGCAAATACCCGTTTGGCTGCATCAAGCCATATCCAAGACTTGAGCACATATTTGTCCGTGGCTTTTGGAAATGTACTAGAAGCATCCATATATAGAGAAGGAAGCGGGGCTATGAGGAGAGCAAATGCGATCATGTACACTCCTACGGAGACAAACTTACTCGAGGAAGTTAATAGATATAAGAAAAACGATTGATGAAACTTCTCGAGCAGGTTGTTCACTGATCTTATGGTCCCTTCAATTAATCGGGCACCTCGTAGAAATAACTCCTGCTGCTTCCTCAGATTGGTTTTAGGAGGAAATCTAGACATGAATTTCAAAGTAACTGCATCAACTTGATAGTCACGGAAAGCACCATGTGGACCAGTCGGGACACCAAGTGCTTGGTAGTACAATGAACTCGCAAGTGTAGCACTGCCTTCAACATAGTCTGCTGCAGATATACCAAAGTTCCAGTCAGGATTTAAAGTCTTAGCCATCTTTCCCACAGCTTCAAATGTTTCCCCAACAATCTTGAGCCAACCAGCGGAAAGTAAAGATGCAACTTTCTCCACCTTTACACTGAAACCCTGTCTGTGAACAGCTAAGTAATTGACAACATTGATGAGGTCAAGATTCGGCATCGGCCGTTAGCTCCTTCGGCGTATATACTTATCGTATCCTCAGACACTTCACCTCTACCATTAACCTTCAAAACGAGAGCAACAACCATTGTTCCGGCCCGGACGAAGTTGCAGATGTATTAAACGAAGGTGCGTAGTATTCACTCAACCACGCATCAACAGATCTGTAGTCCCCATAACGAGAATCAGCAACAAGCCATATGATGTCTTTGGCAAGCCAGGTGACCCTACAGAGCAAGGAAAACACAGTATACGCAATGCCCAATGACAAAACTTCATCATCATTCCCATCAATTGTATGATCATACGGAGCAACCAAAACAATACATTCTTTACCGTCACCGCGCGGGGCTCTTATGATCCCAGCAACATTGAGGCCATGAGAAGAAGAACTCGAGTTCATCAGCGGGTGAAATCCATTCATTTCAGGGTAAAACATGTGATGATAAACTTGCGCACCCAAGTTCGACATATATTCTCCAATGAGCCTGTGGGCTTCAACACGCTTCAACCTCAGATCCTTTACGTTCATCACCAATTCACTCCCATCTAAAACATCCCGATTAGAGAGCAATGAACGTGCAGAACCTGGCATTAGAGCATTCTCGGATATGTAAGTGTTCTTCGCCAACACCGGCAACAGAAACAGCGCCAAAATGCCAGCAGCAGAGCAAATCACACTGAAAACAGGGCTGTCAGAGATGAGAAACATTCCTAGCCGTACGATCGGCCTCGGCTTCATCTCGGGCGATCCATCAGGAGATTTAACCTGTCTCCTTATTCGCCGCCATTATCCACCGATCCCGATCAGGTCGAGGTCCCTGTTCGGAGGGGGAGTATTGAGCCGATCGATTTCGAGGAGAGATCCGAACCAAAACGGCGTCGGATTAGCTGATTTTATGCGTTTAAGTTGGACCGAGATCTGATTTAAAAAAAAAACAATTATGAATGTTTTACAATTGGGCTTTTCAGGACAATGTAGAGGATGAGAATGAGCCCAGAAGGGCACCGCGTTACGTGAAAAAATTGGAGCCGCCCGACCCTCTTCAATACGGATGCTTTCTCAGGCTCACTCTTCGTCTTATTCTGCTCTAGTTCAATATCCGTACGTATCTTCTCCTTGTTTTGCCGATGTTCCTTTGGTCATACCTTTTTCTTTTTTTCCCGTGTGATTATGATGTGGGATGTGTGTTACGGCCCAGATTTCGGGCTGTAATTGAACGAGAAAATGCGTTCTTGGACTATTTCGGGACTCGACTAGCCGACCCAGACGAGATGGTTCAAGAAAGATCGAGTTAAGGCATGGGAGCCGTGTACGAGAGCATCCGGACCATTTTAGAGAATTCCGGACAAGTTGGGAACCGGAGAGACGCGAGAAAACTCTGGAATCTTCGGGAGACCAGAAGATCGGACAAAAGAGTCCGAGAAACTTCTAGAGCATCTGGGCGACCTAGCGTCATCGACCTTGGGGAAGATTCTGAAAGGACACATGGCGCAATCGAGACCATCCATCCGGCTAAATCTCGGTCATCCGTTAAATCGGTTTGTAAAGTTTGTTCATGTATAAACATAGTACGAGAGTTACGTTTTGAACCATCCGAAATTGGCCAAAATTTCCAAAACACGTCCTTTGTAATCTGATCTTTTGTATGAACACTTTCATTGATAAAGCGCGATTCTCTTAAAATCTCGACCCAAAGGCTTACTCACTACAAGCGAAATTGTACGAGTGTCGCACAGATAGTTCGTGAAATAACCAAGTCCCTGACATTTGATTTCTTGGTCTTCCCTTTTGCCCCCTGTTACAAGTTTATTACTGATTTGTGTTTACCTCATCTGTTTCCTGTTCCTTTTATGTTTGCCCACTTTGACGAGCACATAGCCGTTGCTTTTCAGTTCCGTTTGTGGGAGGAAGGATCATCTTAGTTTTGATAACATGTCGGCTCAACCGTCAACTCGATTATGCGTTAGTTACCGCTTTGGTCAACACAGGTCAAAGATAGTAATCTACTGGTAGGAGAGTGAAAGCTGTACTTACATCGCTATATGGATTTAGAAATGAAGTGTTAAGCAAGCATGGGCCATTTATCTACAAGAAATGCTTCCTCTGATTGCTGCATGGAGGTCTTTTCCGTCCGAAAAGTTAAGGGTTACGAGTTAGAGATGGCTCGACCAAATGAACAGTTCGGAATCAGAACAGGTGGACGACATTGCTGATTCTGCTGTCGTGTAAAACTAGCTTTCTGAGCCTAATGCAGAGGACTCTTGCAGCCAACAACATCGTCACTGTTTATTTGATTCAGGTCATTCCAAGACTTTGTGAGAGTAGGATCGGTAAGATGTTCGGTACAAGGGGAATCCCAGCATATGGTTGAGAATTTCTCTGATTCCTCTTATTCAGCTTTCATGTCTTAATTACTGTTTTTAACTAGAAAACACACATTCAGCATTTTGTCCTAGCTCCTCCCTCACATACGATTCACAAAACGATTCATCCATTCAGCTTTCTTGTTCCACATCAATAGAAAAAGCCCCGCATACGACAGCATCATTTTTGAATGGGAGAAGGAGAAGGACAACACAGAGAAGCCGTACCTAGGTGAAGCATTGCGTTTTCCCCCCCTTATTAAGCCAAATAGTTCCACGGTCTTAACTGAACCACGAGACCAGATGAACAGATCAGGAGCTGTTGCTGAATTTTCGTCCCGACAACTTCTCTGACTCGTATAATATGTGATTGATGAGTCCCCGCGCCGCACTATCAAAACCAACATAAAACATCTCGTGTCATCCCCATTGTCACAATCACAAAACATTTATTCTGATTTCTGATGAAGGACCAGCAGCAAGTCTCTTCCATCCAAAACCAAAACCATAGTTCATGCTATGCAATTCAAATATGTAAAAAAACAGCCCATTGAATACCTAATACAACAAACATAAACTTCAATTTACCATTCACTAGACAGTTTGGAATTAACCTCACTAACTTGCCCAACAGTTTAAAGAATCTAGTCCATCAAATGGTTATAAAAAACAGGGAAGAAAAACTCACTCATCCTTTAACTTTTGAATCTTCTCAGGATCTTTCTCATGCATATGTCGCTTAAACTGCTGTCTCACCATATCAACCACAAGCTCGGTGTTGTGTTGCTGCAGGATAAGCGAAAAATGCCAGATCAATTGCCAATATCTCCGGAATAACAAGAGTAAATCACAAATCTTTCCCCCCAGGGGGGTGGGGTGGGGTGGGGATCAATCTCAAACTGTTTTGAATGATAGAACCTACAACAAACAACATAGACGGTTCTCGTTTATGCATTCATATCCCGAAGAAGATTTAAGAAAATCAGCCTTTAGTCAGATGAATAATATGCAGAGGAAGAGATAAAAGCTTCAGAGGGTAAAGGGGACCTTAGGAATGGTAGAAAGTAGAAATTCTAGGCAAAACAGAGGATGAAAACACATCAACCTCATGAGAAACAACAGAAGAAAGGGCAAGCAAGCACCTTGTGCCCGATGTATTTGGCTCTTCGAAGGCATTCTCGATACAACTGCAACAATGCCCAAAAAAAATAGCATGAAGATATCAACCTGACAAATGACACGAGTTCAATCGGACAATTGTAAGAAAATGGAACCGACACTGACCCTGATAACATTGTTAGCAAGCTCGGGAGGAAGGGCAGTTTGGATAGACGGCATTTCCACACGAGAGTCTCCGACTCAAAACCCGAATTCCTCGTATCTTCTCCAGCACCGGATGTGGATCGTACTCAGATGAATAAAACCCTAACCCTAGAAGAAGGAGAACTCAAACACTCTTCTTCATTATGTTATTTTTCATTTAGCCCTTCAAGTTTCCTTACAGTTCCATTTTAGTCCAAAACTTTTATGATAAACCCTTTTATTCGGGTCTAATGTGATGTAGTCGGACCGAAGGTTCGAGAACTATCTTGGTTATCAAAAAAAAAAAATCTAACCTAATACATAATATATGATAAAATTAAATATATTCTTTTTGAAGTTATATATTTTGATTAAAAATTGACATTATATAAAAAAAATATTCTTACTTATTCTTATTTTCATGTTTTGACTTCATCTCATACTTTTTTTCCAACTTTAACTTTATGACCAATATGACCAAAATTACAATTTGATCATATATTGATCATAATAATCATAACGGTAAATTTATAATGTTTTTATCAAATGATTATGAGATGTGTAAGTGATGAACATAATGAATTAGTGAGATCTAACGTTATGACCAATGTGACCAATATAACGATCTGTAACCGCTATGAAATGTCGTAAGAAATTTCTCCAGAGTCAGCACGCTTAACTTTGGAGTTCTCTTGGGATAGTCAACCGAAAAGGTAGATACACCTTGTTGGTATGAGTAGCCCAACTAATCCTTTTATGATATCTCAGACTATATACTTCAGTTCCTATATAGCCCTCGAATCTCTCTCATTCGGATGTGTTCGATTCATTCTTGTATCTCTTTGGTCTTAATGGTACTCGGGGAGGCGCTCCTTGAAAATGTCATCACATCGGCGAATACTCTTAACTATCATCGTAGCTCGGGATATCACAACCAACATGTATGACAAGATAATAATTTCTAGTCACAGTGGTCACAAGATCACAGGTGGAGAAGAATATGTCTTAAAATCAAAATAGCATAGAGATAGTATTTTTATAATACCTCTTAAAAATTCTAATAAAGTGATATGACATACATAATCTAATTACAATTTTAGTAAATCAAACACAAACAATAAAACAATAGAATGTATATATAGAAAAAATAAATGTGGAAAATAAATAAGAAAAATATAAAAAGAAACGGAATTATTTTTATTTATACATCTCTTCTTCTTATTGTATTACAATGAAAATGACTCACATATTTATAGGAAAACTATCAGATGAAATAAAAAGAAAATAAAAATAAATAAGATTGATACGCAATATTTGATATAATGTTATATCCATTATTATTTCTAATCATATCTTAAAATTAATATTTCTTTCAATCACATATTTATTTTTCTATTTCAACATTTCCCTCAAGATTAACTTTGGAAGAATAAAAAAGTCAATTTTGAAGAGATAATGCGATACAAAAAAAATCCATAGACATTTTCGTTGTCTTTAAAAAAATTTATAAACACCAAATTTAGTTCTTTTAAAGAGTATTATCCATTTTCAAATCAATTCTTTGACTTTAAAGTTCTACCTTTGACTATTTTATTAAAAAAAGAGAAAAGAAGAGAAAAATAAAACAAAAAACACTTTTATTACTACATCTTTTCTTCTTGTTATTACATTATAATGAAAATAATTCATATATTTATAGAAAAAGTTATTGAAAGAAACAAGGAAATAAAGATATGAGAGAAACAAATAAGGCAAAACATAACTGACACAATATATATTTTATTATTAATTGATATTATACATTTAATTATTATCAATCATATCAAATCTCCATATTTTATTTCTATTTCAATATTCTCTCTCAGGATTGATTTTGAAATAATTCAAAAATCAATCTTGAAGATAAAACAAAATGATGAAAAACTTTACTGTTATTAGAACGATCCATAGACACCAAATTTCATTCATTTAGAGAGTATTAAACTTTTTCAAATCACTTCGCTTGATTTTGAAGTTCTAACTTTAACTCTTTTTGTCATAGCATCTTGCTTGGTCTTAGAGTTTTTAGCTAACTTCTTTTTGTCATAGCACATCGTTTGAATCTGGTCTTTTTAATACCCTTTGAACGGTTTGGATATATGAATATCCAAAACGCAAAAGAAAGAAGAGGTTAGAATTTTTTTTTTAAGATAAACATATAATCCAGATCGCAACGCTGCTCTGATACCATATTGTGTCCATTATTATTTCTAATCGTATCTTAAAATCAATATTTCCTTCAATCACATATTTATTTTCCTATTTCAATAGTATAAGAATCAAATTCTACTATTGGATTGGGATTCGAATTGAATCTACAGATTCGAATTGAAGTATTTGTAATTTACAACTATATATAGAAAAAAAAAAGAATGTATAAGAATCAAATCCCAATAAACAAAATCTAAGAATGTTGAGAACCATAAAACAATAAAATGTCAACATATCAAAACTAACCAAACATGAGAGGCAAAAGATAGAAACCTCAGTAACAATGAAACAGACATAAAACTAGATCGAAATCCAAACAAACAATTCAATCAAACCGCATGAAAAAAAACCCATAAATTTTCGCTCTGAATGTTTCAACAAATCGATAAAAGGGATAAATCAGATAAAAATGGCTTCAGAGGGAGAAATCAGAGGAAGACGAAGATGAAAGAGAGAAGGAGAGAGACCTCAATCATACACATATTCGGAACTGTAGAGTCGCTTGGCTGAGGAAGACGAAGACGAAGAAAAAGTGGCTTCAGAGACACAATGGAGGTTGTAGGAGAAAACTTAAAAAATGAGCATTTCTTGTTGCAGTAATTTTAGGCATACCCCAAAAAATATAAGGATTTAACACAAGTCTATTTTACCCTTAATTAAAAAGGAAAAGAAGTTCTCACCCTTAATGAGAAGAAGTGTGTAAAGGAATCACACGTATCAAATGTCTCCTCCTCCTTTATTTGTACTTTTTATCATCTTTCATTTTTATTTAGGGAAATTCCCAAAAAAATCATCCAATTATGAGATAACTATCACATTCATCACGAACTTTTAAAATTTTCAAATTCATAATGCATTTGAATTTTTTTTCTAAAAAATCATTCGAAATTTAAATCTTAACAAAATTCTCATCGAAATAGAATTAATTTTGCCACGTAGGCAGAAAGCGCCTACATGGCGCCTACGTGGCATGTATGTGTTCGCCACGTAGTATACACGTGGCGTTAATAATAAAAAATTAAAAAAAGTTGGAAAAAATGTAAAAAAATTATAAAAAATGTGAAAAAATTTACAAAAAAAAATGAAAAAATTGTAAAAAATGTTAAATTGTAAAAACATTTTCAAAAAGTATAAAAAAATGTAAAAATTATAAAAATTGTAAAAAAATTGCAAAAAATTATAAAAATTGTAAAAAATGTAAAATTTCAAAACATTTTCAAAAAATTTAAAAAAATGTAAAAAGTATAAAATTGTAAAGTTCATGATGAATTTGATAGTTATCTCGTAATTGGATGATTTTTTTTTTGGAAATTTCCCTTTTTTTAAAAACAAATTTATAATTTATAATTTTTTACAATTTGTTTTACAATTTTTTACATTTTTTTGAAAATGTTTTACATTTTTTTACAATTTTATATTGTTTTACAATTTTACATTTTTTTTACAATTTTTACAATTTTTATAATTTTTTGCAATTTTTTTTACAGTTTTTTACAATCTTTATAGTTTTTACATTTTTTGAAAATATTTTGCAATTTTATATTTTTTACAATTTTTACATTTTTTTGTAATTTTTTCACATTTTTTATAATTTTTTTTACATTTTTTCCAATTTTGTTTTAATTTTTTATTATTAATGCCACGTGTATCCTACGTGGCGAACACATACATGCCACGTAGGCGCCATGTAGGCGCTTTCTGCCTACGTGACAAAATTAATTCTGTTCCGATGAGGATTTTGTTAAAATTTAAATTTCGAATGATTTTTTAGAAAAAAATTTCAAATCCTGTATGAATTTGGAAATTTTAAAAGTTCGTGATGAATGTGATAGTTATCTCATAATTAGATGATTTTTTTGGGAATTTTCCTTTTATTTAAGTAAAAATCTAGTGAACGACATAAATCTCTAAATCTTCAGTGGAGAATAAACGAAAAATAAACCCTAACCCACCAAAATTGACTGAAATTGACCGGAAATTATTGAAAAATTTGAATTCCTAAACCATTAAACACCTAAACCACCAGAAAAGGAGGAAATGGAGAGAGATAAATCGCCGACGGAGGAAGTTTCTTCGTCTGTTCAATCTGCGAGGAGGGTGAGGAAAAGAGTTCCAACTTCTGAAAAAACGGTAAGAAATATTGGATTTGTTTTTAGATCTGCAGAAATCTAGATATAAATTTTAGATTTTTAGGGTTTTGTGACAGAGTTATCGTAATATAGTTGAAAATGGGATACAAATTGGTGTTGGAAAAGAGATTGATAGGATTACAAGAAATGTTGGATTTTTCAAATGTTGTGTAGAAATCTGGAAGTATGTTTTAGGTTTTTAGGGTTTTGTTACAGAAAAGTCGTGATGTAGTTGAGAATGATGTGTAAAATAGTCGATACGTATTGTAAAATAGTCTAAGCGAATTTGTTGCATAAGGATAAAAAAACTCTAATTCACCATTCTATTCTGGTATATACAACTAAATTGAATCGTTTTGTTTTGTAACAGGTTGGTGATGAACCAAAACCAAAATTTTATTATGAGTTCGATGACATGAACAAAATCTCACTAAAAGTATCCTTCAAGTGTTTTCACATAGATGCGGTGGATTTTCTGAAAACTCATATGACTCTTCGAGAGATTGCATTTTTTCACCCGTCAGTCCCCTTTGAGACATTTATTCTATATGAAGAAGAATCAGACATTGAAGATGAGTTTCATGGTGGCACTCATCAGTAGAGCAGTCAAAATAAAAAAAAAAAAGACAATGAATTATGGTTGTTGATTAATGGGGTTCCTATTCGCTACTCTCTATTGGAACATATTCTTATATCAGACCTAGATTATCCTAAAATGCCTAAGAACTGAGAGAAGATTGGTGGCCCGAACTTCTACATGAAA